CCCAGTCACATGACCACCAAACCACACCTATCCTGTCATGTGACCAGCAAGCCATGCCCAGCCAGCAAGCCATGCCAGCCAGTCACATGACCAGCAAGCCATGCCCTCAAATTCGGCCATACCCACAGAAATTTAAATCCCACCTCTGGGTGGGGGGCACCAAGGATGAGTTTGTAGCACAAAGGGGGCGGTGGACTGAAAAAGTTTGGGAACCACTGCATTACACCAATTAACTACAGTAAACTTTATTTAATACATATATATTTCATTGTTCCTTAATCATAAACTCTTATCAAAGCTGATGTAATAAGTGATCTAGGAAAGAAAAGGCAAAAGACTCTACTAAAAGCAATGCTGATAGACCACAGTGGAATAGAGAGGTGGTGAGTAGACTATCTCTTTGTAATTTTTCTTTGAATAAGGAACACCCCAAAGTGCTCCAGACGGTTGCTCTTCATGAAGAGACTGCAGGACAGCAGTCTCTGATGGGTTTATGTTCTGGGAGATGAGGGAGTAGCCATCTTGTTCAAGCCATGGCCAGATGTTTTCCATGGGACACTAGATTTGCATACTTCCTTTTCTAATCAGTTGATAAGGGACTTGTCACTTACTTTTCAGCTATTAGAAACCTTGAAACAACAAGTCTGAAAACTAAAACACTTAAATTCGCTTCCTAATACAGAATGAAGCAACATATTTTAACACTGGACATATTGAAGGATATTTTATAACAAAGGACCCAGAAGTTAATTTAAAGTGTGCGTGCTTCTATAAATAGTGTTTAAAAGATATTATGGAAGAAGATGGAGTTTTGCGTGGCAAGATTTGAGACTGACATGAAAGTGGATTTAAAAATGTCAAGGTACAAATATGATATGCAAAAAGTTACTAGCATGGAACATACAAAAGAAACTTAATCTTAATAATTAAAAGGGACAAACCAAGAGAGCGACCTGGATAACTTTCCTCTGGATTTACAAAAGCTTGTTAAAGCTTTGAAAAATTTTCTGAGAACAGACAAAAAAAAAATGAAGAGAAATAACATTCTAGTTCAGGGGTGTCAAATCCGCGTTCTCATGGCGTCATCACGAAATGTATTATGACTTTTCCCCTTCACTAAACCAGGCATGGGCGTGGCCAGTGTGTGAGACGCTTCTGGCAAGCAGGCTGCAAGTTTGACATCCCTGTTCTAGTTTATTATTTGAAAAAAACTAAACATCAAAATTGTTAAAAGTAAAAGAAACGATATAAAGTTAATTTGATCAAGGTTAAAATAGATATGTTGTTCTTTCGCATAACCCTTAACAGATTTTTGCTGATCAGGATTGAAATGATGAGGCATTTACTTCTTTATATATAACAGATGGAATATGGGAAGAAGATATTGTATTTGAAGAGAAGATAAGCTACTAAACTTGTTTATACTTGTGATGAACACTTTTAGTTTTTCTTTGCTATATTTTTTCTTTACTATTTTTCATTTTCTGCACCATTACTTTTTCCTCTTTTTAAAAGTTTTTATTACTTTTTCACAAAACTATTATTTAAAAAAAAACTTATGTAATAAGGGGACAACTTATTGTGTACCTGTAGCCTCGGAGAACATTAAGATACCAGACAGAATATTTTTTTAAATAAGCAAAAGACTAATGACTAATGTCTAATGACTCCAAACAGACTGAATATCTAAAACTGACTGAATTCCCAAAAAATAAATAAACTTCCTACACCACACAAAGGTAAAAAAAAATCTGACTCCAAACAGAGTCAGATTGAACAGTAAACAGAGTTTTACTAATCAAAATAAACAAAATCTGTTCAAATAAAAAAAAATCTGCTAAAATCTTTACCTGCTTTTGCCAGAAAAATATTCCCTACTGCTGATGTAAATAGACATTTATCTAAATATATATATATATAATTTTTAAAATATGCTCAAGTCATATGACCTCTGAATGAAACTATTATTAAACCGTTCTTTAAAAAGGCTTACTTGAATTATCATTGCAAATATTATTTAATGACAAATCCATCATTTGTTTCAAGAGTTTGTTTTTCATTCTCTTCAAGACTTCTTAACTTTCCTTTTTGTGAAGACATAACTGACAGCTGTACAGGTTTCTTGCAGATATACACAGTGCTTAAAAATAACTTAAAGCTGAAGATACGAAGGTTTGACAGGACAATATTGAAAGGAAGAGATCAGTCCAATGAAAGAAAAAGATGAGATGGAAGCCAACTGGACAATCCCTTATTCAGTAAGTTGGGAAAAGTCATTGACTTGGACAAAATGGTCATGTATGTGGTGCATAATTACCACATAGAAAAAAAATTAAGCAGTAAGGTCAGTGCAAAGAAAAAGTATAATTAAGATGCACACATATACACCCTCTATCTGTGTATTCAGTCATACAATACAACATTCATGCATGTACACGTTAAAGTAGGCATCATATGAAGCCTCTCTAGGTCAGCCTTCTAAAACCTAGTGCTGTTCAGATTAACTGGAAAAACAGTCCATAACATTCCCAGCCAGCATGGTCCAAGCCATTCCTATAAATCAAAGTAAAGATAAAGATTTCCCCTGTCCAGTCATATCTGACTTTAGGGTGCAGTGTTCATCTTCATTTCTTAGTCAGGTAGCCAGCGTTGTCCAAAGACTCTTCCTGTGGTCATATGGCCAGCATGACTATATGCTAAGGCACATGGAACATTGTTACCTTCCCACTAAAATGGTACCTATTTATCTAGTTGCATTTCTATGCTTTCAAACTGCTAAGTGGGCAAGAGCTGAGGCAAATAATGGGAGCTCATCCCATCGTAAAACATTCAGGTCTTGAACCTGGGCTATCAGCTTTCTAACTGAAAAGCTCAGCATGTTTAGCCATTCAGCCATAAATAGTTTCAGGTGAATATTTAGCATTTCCTGTATAAATATGCTGTATTTAGTATTTACTGTATAAGGCCTGAGAGAAGACAGACAGCCATAAGCAAAGTGAAAATAAAAGCCTCAGGAGGAAAGCAGGCAAATATAGGCATTCTCCTAGTAAGCAGAAGTACAAAATATATTTAAAGAAAGATAGTATGAATAAAAAGAATACTAGTTGCCCTAACTTAATTTCCCCTGAGTGGCTTTTGTAAATATATAAGTAGAGTTTTAACCTGGTTTGCTTTGTGCATTCAGTGAAATCTGAGTAAGATTTTCAGTTTTTTAGCAACATTCTATGGGGAAAAAAGAAAAGAGGATTTCAGAGGACCTTTTATACATAAATATTTAGCAACTTGGGGAATGTCAATAGCAACTGCTCTGATCATCATCAATATTTGACTTTCAGACTGCATCTTTATTTTCCTACAGTTTATCTATTAGGAGCGACAGTTTAACAGCTTTTACCAAAATTATGCTGTGAAATACATACAGATCATTTTATAACATGAGGCTTAGAACTCTATACATTTTAGGGAAGATTAATATATGATGCCTGGGTAGAAATGTGAAAATTCTTCCAGCTGCTCAAAACATGTTAATTGATAATTTGGGGATAAGTAATGAAGTGGGCAGTTTTGAGGATGTTGCAAAACTATTTGAGATGTTAAAAAGAGAACAATGATTGTGAAAAGCTCCAAAAGATTGGCCAATTAATCAAACGGAAAATGAAGTATAATACACGTAAATCTAAATTGTTTAAACATTGGAGCATTAGCCCTACCCCAATTTCAATACACTGGTGAAATCTGTGATGTATATAAGAACTTGAGGTCATAGCAAATGGTGTGGTGAAGATGTTAGTGCATACATCAGTTCTGATTATTTTCATAGAATGGAGTATGGTATTTTGAAAAAAAAAATACAGACCATTGTTGACGGGTATGGTCCGTGCTGCATAGGGCCAAAACAAAGAATGCCTGGGACAGTGAGCAGTAGACCTTTCTGGGGAACAGTATTCTGAATTCTATTCAGTTCTAATAATCCAAAAGAAAATAGAAATCTTCCCCCACACACCCAAATGTTTTTGCAAGAGGCTCTAGTGAATGGACCTCCATTTTTTTTTAAAAAAAAACCCACCTTAGGCCCATTTTAATGTGCAAGCTTAAAGTTGAGGCAATAAATGCCTAACGATTTAAAAAAATGTTTTAGCAGCCTTTTTGGCTGAAGAACAAGAGGTTATGACTATGTATCTATGAAGATAAGAGTTACTTGAAAGCAAGATAATATATTGCAAATGAAGAAGTGATTATGCAAAAATGGACACAGTGGACTAAATAAGGCGGAGGAAGGAGGATTGTTCTTCAACAACACAAAATTAAATGTAAACATAATTAGAATAATTTTTGAATTATGTAATTGCAATAGTTTAAAACATCCAAGACAATGTTTTTAAAACTGATTTCATTATTCCTCTTCCAGGTCTTGAATTATGTCATTATCACCATTACCACCACCAAAAAAAACCAGATTCTGTTGTCTTACAGTGTCTTGGCTTTGGCAATCCCGTATTTGATCTTCAACACACAAACAAGGATATGCCCAAATTACCCCCTTGATCTAATGTTCCAAGAGGAAGCTTTGAGATCTGACATGAAGGACAATTTTTTTAAAAAAGGCGGGTTGGGCAGAATTTATTCATTTATTTGTCAAATTTAAATGATCCCCATATCAAAGTGACTGTGAGCAATGTACATTTAAAAAAAAAAAAATTTAACCCTAAAATCCATTCAAAATACAATACCTCAAAAAACAGCCAGAATTTTTTTTTAAAAAAACTAAGATAATATGTTAGAAGGCATGGGGAAAGGTCTTCAAGGTACCAACCATCTCCAGGGATATAAATATATAGGTATAAATAGCTATATACCTCACATATAAATTGTAGAAAACATGTATATGCATATGTGTGTGTTTGTGTGTGTGTATACACACACACACACACACACACACACACACATACATATGCAAACATATATATTTATATGTGACACAGGTATTTAAAATGCCAAACCTTTACAAAAGTTACAAACTCTTCTACTTTTTCATTGGACATGACCAACTTTTTCTGTATCATTTCAAGTGCCTGTTCACTTTGCCTTGCTAAGCTGTGAAGCTGTTGAGAGGCCGTTGTTTCAAGTTCAGTCATGGTATATTCTGTCTCTGCCATTTTAGCTTCTAGGTTGGAAAGATTAAGCTCCTGAAATACATAATATATAATAAATAAATATATTATATTTTTTATATGTATATGTATATGTGTGTGTGTGTGTGTGTGTTGTGTGTGTCTACATTCCCACTCAACTATGTCAACTTTCCCCATATGTTGCTTTCCAAATACTTGAGGATTCTGGGAACCATATTCTCAACTCGTAGAGAATTTGGCAAAAGGAAAACTTGATTTAGGCAGATTGAAGATGAGGGTTAAAAGTCACAAATGTCTTCTATTTCTGTTCATTTTTAAAAAAAATGTCTTTTAGTATTTTTGAATTGGAAAGAAATTAACAGTGTCTAGAAGATCCTACAAAAATTAATTGTAAAGCTCATTGCCATCTCCTATAGTTTTTTTCCCCCGCCCACTCTCCTAGTTAGATATAAAACACACTAAGACCATCTGTTGTTTAAAACCCAAGGGAAATAATGTGCCCGGTTGTCTGTCTTGTATAAGTCCAGATGCTGCTTCCTCTGTAAACTGTCCAGTGTTAAGTGCTTATTGTACCTGAGCATTTTGGCTCTAAAAATCTCATGCTTCCTGTATTGAAGTTATAGAAGAAACTGAAATAGGTTTATACTCAGCTAGACCGAACTGTTTAGAATCTCTGGGAAGATAATTTGTAAAATCCAGAGAAAGATTTATAATATAGGATTAAAGCCTGTAACAATAGAATGCATCCAAAGTTTCTTTCTAGATGCATTGTTAGTCATAATTCAGTGTAACACTGAGATCTCCTTTAAACCTTTGCTATATCTAAAACAAAACCAAAAAAACCAGAAACACAAAGGAACTCCAAAATGTAGAATAATCTGGCATTATATGAATTCATTCAGAACTTTGCCCAACAAAAAGGGATAGTGGGAGAAAAAAGCAAATTTCATCAGAGGCTTGCTTTCTGGTTTCTCACCTGTTATAGAAAATATTTGTTTGATAAGACTACACTGAAGTCAGAGAAGAGAGAAAGTGCTACTATAAAACAGTGTATTTTAGAAAATTATATCTCACCCTAGTTAAAAACATTCAAAATTGGATTATAATGAATGTAATTCAAGTTCAGAAATTTCTTCTGAATTACAACCATATATTATATGGCTTTAAATAAAACTCAAGACAAATACTATTGTGGGCAAATTAAAAATGCAAAGGCACTAATCATGAAACTATTTATTTGAAAAAAAATGTGTCAGATTGTTAATAATTTAATGATGATTTTATTAACATATATTTGTAATTGTTTCTTATTTGTGTTTTCCTTTGTATTTTTTGTACACCTCATTGTTATTGGATACAAGTACCCTGAACAAATGAAGGCAGGATGTAAGTCAAATAAATCTTCATCATATTAATCATCCATAATATCTATAACTGTGTACCTTCTTCTCCAAGTCTTCTTTAGTTCTCTGATACATCTGTTCGTACTGTGTCTTTTCTTTGGTTGCTACATTAAGCCTCTGCTTTAATGAATCAATGGATATTTTTTTATTTGAACAGTCTTCAGTTAATGCCTTTGCCTGGAACAACATCCAGAGAAAAACTATTAAGGAAAGCATTTAAATAATTTAGATGGAACATCAACACTATCAAAATACTACACACATCTAATTGTACATAATTCATTTATCTTCTGAATAGAATGCAGGCTATCTTGGCTTCCATTCAAACATGGATACTATCCATTGAAATCAATAGGATTTATTTGTAGATAAGTGGGCAACATTTTACTAACTATCAAATTCATGGGCAAGAAGCCAAATGCTAGCACTTAAAAACTCTGAAACCTATCAACATATGGTATTGATGAGGAAAATTACAAATAATATAGTCCAACGGTTAATAGCTATTTATCATTTGTAAAACAAGTCTATATAAAAAAAAGGAATCAATTTACAAAGCATATCTAAAGAGGTCATATTCTTGCATATAATACACTTGGTTTTTTTTCTAACTCAAGGTAGCCAGAAAATCACAGTATTTTTAATACTTAAAACACTATCAACACCTCATTACATAGGTCTCTAAAATGCTTTTTCATAGTGCCTTCTCTTCAAGAAATTATCCTGGTTCTGTTTTATATTGTCTGAGATTTTTCCCACCCTGCCAATTTTGTCTCTTGGGCTGACAGTATCTAAGTGATATCTCATATACACAGAGCAAGATAGTTTTGTCTGGAATTGACAATGTATGACTGCCAGCAGAAACCATGTTCATACCTAAAAAGCTAGCACCTGCTTTTAAAAAAGAATCAAAGTAGTGCTTTGTTTCTGTGTTTCTTGGATGTTATGATTTGCAGCCTAAGAGATTCCTACACATATGACTTGTTTGCTATAAAACAGGGCTAAAACACACTGCAGAGGTACTAAGGGGCGGTTTCTCTTCCAATCTGTTTAAGCATCAGAAAAATGCATTAAATATTTATGAAGAAAACAACTTTCAGAAGAGCATAAAATGGAATCATTAAATATATAACAATGGGAGGGATCACACATAACTATTATTATAAAAATAATGTATAGGTCATTGTTTTCCCTTTATGATATTTTTCTCTTGATTTACACTGCAAGAAGACTCTTTCTTTGATATCTCTTTTCAAGAAACAGATATGTGAAATTCCTGCTGTACAACATCCCCAAAATACTAAGAAGCACTTAATTATCGCATTAAGTTATTTGACCGTTTTAAGAGCAATCTCTGCATAAATGAAACTGTATTAATCATAATAATGGTTACTACAATTAATCAATCTGGTGGAATTCAGGTTTTTGGTTTAAAATAAACACTAAACATTAAAGACCTTTTCTTCCAGACATTGCAATGTTTCATTAAAGCTTTTCTCCTTTTCCTGATATGTTTTCATACGCAGCCTCCAATCTTCTATTAAATGCCTTTTCATACTTATATCTCTTTCCATTCTAGAAATCCTTGAAATAAAGAGAAAATGAAACATTCATAGAATTATGCAACTGGCATGTCATTCTTTTGAATAATCGTTAGTGCTCAGTTCCATGCTTATCTTTGTACCATTTGCCAAGTGAAAAGTGTTCAAAGTTTTCCCTCTGTGTAATGGCATTAAAAGGTACAGTAGATTTCATCTCTGTGGGCTTCTGAATCTTAAACCCCACATTTCACAGGAGAAATTCAGAACAATAAAAATACACACTAGTTTATAGAAAACCATACTGTGATGATGATATAATTATAAACAAAAGGGGAGCAAAATATTCTACTTAGTCTAAAGGAAAAAAAATAAATTAAAATTAACTATAGCTTTTTAAAAGTATCACCGTGTGAATTGGCTGTCATGATTTTGAACTACTATGCAGTACATAAAAAGCTTCGTATCAATATGGTAGTTTAAAAAAGTAGAACGACAGCTATGATATGGAAAATCAATAGACCAATTTCAACGATGAAAATGTGACTTCCCCAAAATGTACAACTTCTAAATAACAAACCTGTAGGAAAGAAATGAGAAACTGTTCACTGGGTGACATATCAGACAGAAATCTACGCTTATGACTGTTACTTGTTCCTATTTTCTTGTGACAACAACATGCTATCCCAATAGAATGAACCAACATAATACTTATACAAAATACATTTTTTAAAAAAATTAATTACTTTTTAATCTTTAAGGCATCACATACCAGTAGATCCAGCAAAAATCACAGTAAAAGCCAATGGAAAGAATTTACATTTCAGTAGATACATCTAGCTTATGGGGACAATCAAGAATATTGAAGCATATTCAGTATCTACTCTATACTGTAATATAGTGGTTGAACATAGGCATATCAGAATGCTCTCTCTCACCTCCAGGTGAATTCCTTAGGGGTTCCTCAAGGCTTTTAATCAATAAAATATGCATTTTGTTAAATCCTTTTAAAGATGAAACATTTTAATGAAATAACTCTTATTTTGCAGGGTTAAACATTGTTTGGTTCACTCACAATTTGATATTATGTTTAACTGAGCAACTAATTAGCAAAAAAATTACATTCTAATAAACTCAAAAATAGATACAAATGCCTTTTTTGCATTTTCCAGAAATTATAAAATTGGACATTTAATCCAATTTAAGCATCTAAACCTTGATGTGCTTCTTAGCCCTGAGGCAATCATTGTATTTGAAAAATTGCTTTCAAGTATGCTGAGATATTCATTTAGATGGATAGAATCAGGTGCACACTGGAATCTGATTTTTTTTTAAAAAAAACATTGCTTTATTACAGTTATATATCATCTTTTGTACTGAAAATTACCCAGCAACTTAAAATAAAAATACGTATTAATACTTTTCTCCTAAAAGAGTAAATAATATGAACCCTACATAAAAAGTCAAAAGAAAAATATATACGGAAAGATCACATTCCAAAAAATGTCCATGAATTTAAAGCAAATGCATTTTTGCCACAAGGGGGAGCCAAACACAACCAATAAGTAACTGGGACCTACTTTTCTTGCAATTCCTGCATCTGTTCTTCTTTTCTTTGGACTTCAGATTTCAAAGATTTAATGGTTGATGAATGTTTAGTGACTTCATTATTTGCATTCTAGAATGAATGAAATATTTTATTAAGGTCTCAGTAATGTTGATGTAGAATTACTCAGAGCTGCAACTGTTCGCACGTGTTTTCAAAGTGAAACTTTGCTATTTAACAGGTTAGTCTATTTTGATTTTAGAACAGCAAAAAATACCGCTAAAGTTCAATGTACTTAGGTTATTAAGGTTTGACAGTGATGCTTTTATACTTATTCAAGACGAGCCTAGGGTGAAATAAATTTCATCTTATTTTCCAAATGGAATATCTCTTCCAGAATTCTACCTATGATGTTTAACAGTGAGTTTTAGAATTAAAATATATATGGCTAAGTTTTTCCCAAACAGGTGCTTTAAGCTGCTGCTGCTAAATATGGAAACTGGGTTGGAAAAGTTACTATTCATACTTGGTTCTACTTTAATATAATTTTTTCTTAAACATTTGCAAGATTGCATTCAAAAGATTAAAGTTTTCTTTAATTATTGTCAGTTTCAGTTTCAAAAACACTAACCTTAAATTGCTCTAAACTATAATTTAACATAGTTATTTAATGAGTATGATTGAATAAGCTACATTTTGCTGGATTCATACTTCATTTGATAAACTATAGTATATTAATTTCATTCGCCAGATTCACATATAATGCCAAGCCCAGCATTTAAGAAAGTGGCTTGATATGGCATGCAGTCCTAGTTATTTAATAATTTGATCTGGTTGTTTGCTATTTCTTATAATTCCATCTCCATAGAGACAGTAGAATATGATCATGTATAGTACTTTGAGCTCTGTTTATTTCCAAAGTTATATTTCTAAAGCTTCTACTACTACTTCTACTCCTCACAAATGTTGAAAATTAAAAAAAACAAAAATCGAATTATAAGGCTGCTGCCCTAAAAAAGATCTGATTTTGTTATTCCTGCTATTCAGAAAAATCTCAGGGCACCAAGTTTCTCAATGGATTACATACACTTTAGAGTAGACAGTTATGACAAGAGAGGGAAGAATAATCACAAAATTATTCTTAGTAATTTCAAATACTACGCAGTATTAGTTAGCAATAGTTAAATAGCTACTGGCAGATGATATGAAATTGCATAAATTAAGTGTACTTCATTAGACTTCTAAATAAATGGTACTGTCCAACTATACTTATACACACCATACATGCACACACACATACAGAGTTTTCAATGCACAAAAAAAAGGAGTTTACTATAAGAATTGACCTATATTAATCATTTTTGGTTTTAGGGAAAATATACATTAGATCAAAACTGAATGAAGAGATCTGGGGAGTCCTTGATGCTTTCTTAGCTTGTTTGTTTGTTTACCGATGTTTCATTACCTGCCTAGTGAGTGTGATGTTTGCTCTTTGTTTATATACAGTAGCTTGCCTGGCCAATGTTGATGGTGTGTGTGTGTGTGTGTGTGTGTTTCTCTTTGGTAGTTCCTTGATTAGGGTACTACCTTATCATTTTCGGCTTGATTCTTTACCTGGTGTTAATTCCTGCTTTTCTCGGTGTTGGATGTTGAAGAAGATGTGTACTGGTCTGTTTCCTTTTTAGTTTTTTAATTGTCTTTTTTGAACAGTGTGTAAATGTAGTTGACCTCTATGTAACTACTGGTAGCCAGGGGTGAATTTCTACTGGTTCTGTCCACCTCTGTAGAACTGGTAGCTCTGAAGAGCAGCAGACATAGAACCGGTTCTATGTCTGCTGATGTTTTTGCCCACTAGCCCACCCGGGCTCTTACCTGACCTTTATTTCCTGATTTTTTCAACTTCAGCTGCCGTGTGAGGCACATTTGCAGTTAAAAAAGCAGGAAAAAGGGGCTTTTTGAAAGGCTGCTTCTCTGCACGCAGCATGCTGATGATGATTTACAGGCGCGCACCGGCAGCGTGCAGGGAAACACATTGTAAATCACTGAACCTCATAAATGACCGAACTGGTAGTTAACCCTGTCAGATCCCACCCCTGCTGGCAGTTGATATTGTATGTCTGAGTGAGAAACCTCCTGGAATTCCCTTGTGTTTTTGGATTCAACTTGATCTAGGATGTTCACAGTTTTCTAGTTGAAACTATGATTGAGTCGGCCATGTCTGGTGAGTTTATGAAGTTTCACTGTTTTTTTGACTGCTTGTTGGTGTTCATGGATGCTCCCTGCTAATCTTTTTCCTTTCTGTCTTATTATAGAGGCTGTTACAGTCCTTAGACTGTATATTGTAGATGATTCTACAAAATATGAAAATATTTAGTTCAATATTTAGTTCATTTTTATGCTATAGTAATGCCACGTGGTTGTAAGAGTGTGTTGATTGTTTCTAAGATCAAAATCTAAAATATATTAAAGAATATTACCTATTAATAGGCTTAATAATGGGCTTCCCCCATTAAAATTAGTTGGGATGTTATAGGTAACAATATTTTCTCTATATTTTCTCTATGAAAATATAGATTTTAATGTGAAGTTTCATGTATAAAGATACCATTTCTAAAATACTATGTAGGCTTCTCTGCAATACTATACAGTCTTCATTAGACTTTTAAGATAAAATGTTGACTCAAAGATTAAATGGTATAATTCTGAATGCCATACACAGTATTGAAAATTTTATATATTTTTAAAAATGCTTATCACCTTTTAAAAAACATACATCTAATGCTGACATACAACATACAAATTGGCTTACAAAGACTTCAAATGCTTTTGATAAAGTGCAGGAAGACTTTTAACCTGTACGTATTATCTTTCTTTTTTAAAAAAAATCTAGTGCATATGTTCAAACGTATACGACCACATTCTTAATATAAAGTATGGAAAATAATATATACTTTATATTTCTGAAATACAAAAAGAATATGAGCCATAATTCTTGTATTTCAAAAGGAACTTTCTTTGAGTAGGACATTGGGGTGGGTGGTGGAGTTTCAAACAGAGGAAATGTAACTATAAATTACAGAACAGAATGAAATGTTTTCATTTGGTCCAAGCGTGCCTATGATGTCAGAATTTCAATAGATACATTACCCAATCTTTAAATATATGCAATTTAATAAGAAATCAGTTAAAATGACGAACGATGGCATAATAATCACTGAAGTTTCTAGGTTTGCTTTTGATGCTGACTTTTATTAATAGGCAAATGTCAACATCCCATTAAAGGATCTTACATACTTTATGTAAATATGGACACTTATTTCAAGTGGGCTTCTGCAACAGGTTACCTTGCAGTGCTTATACAGTGGTTAAGGTCTTATGTTCAATAAAAACAAATCGCCATTTCCCGTGCAAAATAACATGGCATGAATGGGAAGGAAAATGAAGCAAATGTTTTCCAGCAATCACTGGGTAAATGTGGAAGCAGGAAACTTCTTCTTCTTCTTCTTCTTCTTTTTCTTCAGCGTTTGTCTCGCGCTCGGGCGAGGTCCGCTAATGTCCTTGAGTACTGCTTCCACACCTCTCTGTCTGCCACGTGTGTCGGGTCTGCCTTCGCGATCTCTAGATCGGCCTTGATCGTGTCCATCCAGCGTTGTTTAGGTCTACCACGCGGTCTCGCTCCTCCGACAGTCACCTTCATTACAGATTTGATGATGGATTCTTCCTTGGCGCGGCTCACGTGGCCGAACCATCGTAGCCGGGACTGCCTCATGACCGTGGGGATGGGCACGACGTTGAACCGTCTACGCACTTCTTCGTTCCTGACGCGATCGAGTAGGGTGAGGCCTACCGACCATCGGAGCATTCGCATCTCCATTATCTGGAGTCTGCTTTCGACTTCTTTGGTCGTCGGCCAGCACTCTGCGCCGTATATGGCCACGGGGCGCACCACAGAGTTATAGATTTTCGCCTTCAGGCGCATCGGCATCTTCTTGTCACAGAGGACGCCCGTGACGGACTTCCATTTGCCCCACGCTGCATTGATCCTGGCTGCCACCTCAGTTTGTAGTAGGCCTTCTTCCCCAAGAGTAGTTCCCAGGTACTTGAAGGTGGAGGCGCGCGGTAGCTCCTGCCTGTTCACGTGGATGGAGCCTGTCATTTCATTGTCAGTGGTCAGGTATTCGGACTTCTTTAGGTTCAGCCGGAGCCCGAACTGCTCGAGGCGGTCGTGCCACTGTTGGACTCGGTGCTCTAGTTCAGCCTTGCACAGGTTGGCCAGGAACACATCATCGGCGTAGAGCAGCGTCCATGGGGCGGGCGTGTACAGGTCGTGTGTAATTGTGTCCATCACCAGAATGAACAGCAGTGGTGAGAGAGCAGAGCCCTGGTGTACGCCGACGGTAATATTAAACTCCTCTGATATCCCAGCTGCCGCTTTTACACGGCTTTTGTGACATCTGTATAGGAGTTGGACCCATTGTACGAGCAGCTCAGGCACGCCGTGGTCTCGCAGTGCGTACCAGATGAGATCGTGCGGGACTCGGTCGAAGGCCTTTTCCAAGTCTAGGAAGGCGGTGTGGAGCGGGATTTTCTTCTCTCTGTGAGCCTCCATCAGCATCCGCACACCGAAGATGGCGTCAGTGGTGCCGCAGTTCTTGATGAATCCAGCCTGGTTGACGCTGATGTCGACGGTGTCCCGAATGCGCTTATCAAGGACGCGTTCAAAGATCTTCATAGTGTGTGACAGTAACCTGACCGGTCTGTAGTTGGAGCAGTCCGCTGGGCTGCCCTTTCCCTTCCAGATCGGAACAGTGGTGCTGCGGTACCAGTCGTGTGGCACTTTTCCCGTGGAGACGATGTTGTTGAACAGCTCGCACAGCCACAATGCCGAGCCCGGTAGTGCCTTTTTCCAGAAGTCGGCAGGGATGTCGTCTGGTCCTGTTGCCTTACCGTTTTTCATGGCCTTGATGGCGTCGGCGACCTCGCTGGCATAAATGCCTGAGACTGGGCCTTCAACTGGGTCACCTCGCGGGGTTCGTGGGTGTGGGAACTCCTCGGTGGAGATCTTCTCGAAGTATTGCCGCCACCTCTCCGCAGCGTCTCTGGGGTTGACGATCAAATTTCCCCTTTCGTCGTTGATCCCATGAAACTGGTCAATGTCCAGGGTCTTCCTGTGTCTGCTTTTGGCTAGGCGGTAGATCTCATTCTCGCCTTCTCGCGTGTTCAGCTTCTCGTAGATGTCATCGTAGTGGGAGCTTCTGGCTGTCGCTACTGCTTTCTTGGCTGCCTTTTTGGCCGCCTTGTATTCGCAGAGCTTCTCGCTGGTCTTGTCCTGAAGAAAGGCCTTGTAGAGCCGTTTCTTCAGGTGTACGGCATCTTGTACTTCCGGTGTCCAGAGCCATGTATCTCGTTCGATGCGTCTCCGTCCTGGCTTGGTGCAACCAAGCTGTTGGCAGCCGGCAGTGTGAACAGTGCTCTTCAGCATGGACCACGCTTCCTGTGGCCCGTCGACCATCTGCGGGAACTGCTCCGGTTTGATGAGGGGTCCCGCCATCTTCTTCTGGTTCCACCACTTGATTCGTGGCTGGTCTGCATTTCTTTTGTCAATCCTGGTCTTGGGCTTGCTGATCCTGATCTTCGCCATCAGCGGCCTGTGCTGACTGCTCGATTCGTACGGGTACGCCTTGGCGTTGAGCACGTTTTTAGCGGCTCTTCGTCGTACGATGATGTAGTCGATCTGTGTGTGGTGGCTCCCGTTTCTGCTATGGTAGGTGAGGAGTTGAGATTCTCGCCTAATGAAGCAGGTATTCGTGATGGTCATATCATGGGAGTCGGCAAAGTCCAGGATCCTCTGGCCATTCTCATTCGTATCGCCTGTGCCGTGCCCACCGTGGCACTGGTGTCCGTTTTTGTCCCGCCCTACATGACCATTCAGGTCGCCCGAGATGATGATGTCGTCTTCGTGTGGGATCTGCCTGAGTTGGATGTCGAGCAGTTCCCAGAAGGTATCCTTCTCCTCCTCGTGACATCCGGTCTGAGGGGCGTAGGCGGACAAGATGTGTAGGCGGAATGTGGAAGCAGGAAACCTGATCTCAAAAGCCACTTCTAGTGTGGCTAAAATTTGGTAGAAAAAAAGGCTATTCATATGATATACATAATCTATCATAAACTCTTTTGGAGTTTAAAGGAGTTTCTCAGGCAGTCTGGAGTTTTAGTTAAGTTATTAATCAATAATTTTAGGATTAGCATATAGGTTTAGTTCTTTCTACCACAGTAGATGGACAAAATTTGGGTGAACATGCTCAGACAGATTAAAAAAATATTTTGCATCTGCTGATTTCTGAATAACCCAAGTCGCAAAATTGAAAACAAAAGCGTCATAATTTTGTATTTTCTTTGGTAATTGTGCAGGACTCCACTAGAAGTGAGCTAGATGAAGAAAAGACCAGGATCTGGTTAACAATTCTTAACTACTGCCCTAACTGGCTTCCTCCACAGATCATGCCTGAATCCTTTAATACTCACAGATCACTAGCAGTCCAGTCTATTTGAATCAAGGAGTCCTGAAAAAATATTCCAATGTGGAGTTTCATTGCTAAATGCTGTCAAGAATGTGATGCAAACAAGCAAAGGCTACACTGAGGTAAAGGCTTGTTGATAGAGATTGGCAGTTTGATTGCACACAATTTCTGTAAATATAACAACTGAGAATCAGGCCTAATTCATAAGAAAGGGAGATGATGATAAAAGCTCAGTCTTAAATATTACAGAGTGTTCAGTCTGTTTCAATATTCTTTTGTCAACAATTCTGGGGGGCCCGATGCAAAAAATTCTCCTTCATAAAAACATTGTTCCTGTGAAATAAGAGTGGGGGGATCCATGTCATAATTATAGATTATAAGAGTAATGAATATGATAATCATAAGAACATGATTATCTCCAAACTTCCTGAAAATTCTGATCAATTGACAGATGACAGATATTACTGGGTGATTGTGATCCCTATATTATATGACAAATGGCAAACTTTTGTTGGCAGTTGGCCAGATAAGGCAATACTGTACAGAATTGCAATAGATGCTCTTTCTCTCTATAGTATTTTAATATTGAAATACTATAATGTTTAATGATTATTTTCAGAACTTAATTACTAAATGTTAACTTTTTCATTTTTTCCAGTATCTCCAAGTGTGAGATAAGCAGTATCTAAATTTGTTTAAACCATCGAACAAAATCTTAATATGGTAACATGTAGATACATACTGTATTCTCATGCCACTGGCTCAGTGGTTTTATAATTTAATATAACACAATTTATGTGTTAAGAAAGGAGTAGTTTAGTGTATTAAAATTTAATATATTTTGATAATAGTTCATTAGTGAGGCTATCTTTATAGACTTATTTTTTTCCTTGTCAGTCATGTCAGGCCTTCAAACATTTACTTTTTATCACTCATTTATTAATAAGTTCTTTCTTTCTCCTGTAATTGAGTTTTAAGATTTTTTTATTTATATCTATTCGATTGATACCTTGCCTTCCTATACCGATAAATACCCAAGACAAATACCAAAATTTAAAAAGACAAAAAAGAATATTTTTTTTTTAAAAAAAAACCACAGATCAAAATTAACAATAAAATAAGTCAACAATTCAAACCTTGGCCAAACAGAGGAAACCTGATAGAGTAGAAGTCAAGAGCAACTCCCAAGCTAGTACATTTCACAGCCTGGGAAAAATGCTACAAAAGGTCTGCCCCTACCTGCCAGAAAGATGAGTTTGTGTCAGCAGAGGGGATCTTTAAAAGGGCCTTTCCTGCTGATTTTAGCACATGGAGACTTGTTTGCTTCAGTAGTCAGACCCTAAGTCAAGACCAACAGATTCATTAAGCCCCACTAAACAAGTGGGAACCAAACCCAGATCATGAATGAAGGCAAATATGCACGTCCCAGGATAATGTTTCAAGATCCAATCTGGGTCGGTCACTGGGACCAGAGGTTTTGTCTTCCAAGCTTTCGGATTCGTGCTGGGAGCCCATCCTCGGGGAGCTTCTCTAGCATCTGCCATGTGCCAAGGCACTCCTTACCAATTATCACTGTTATCAGTTCTCAAATACAATGAAAACTATTGTATTACATGAACGTGCTTTGTTTGCTCCTTTTGATATTATCAATTTTTTCTAGTGAGATTAACCCACACATTGGATGTATTTCAAGAAGTAGAAGACAAAGGAGAGCAATCCTATTTTAAGTTGCAATGCCGAGGCCTCTGACAAATCCAAGGTCTTAGAAGCATTGTAGCATGGCAGAATAAAAACAGAAAAAAATGTACTTCCACCTTACTTCCAAGAGCACTTTTGATTGATTTAAATATTCCATCCAAAACTGGCCTAGAATAGCTAAACTTTATCAATAATTCTGAGCATATTACCAAGCTTGACTTTGGCACACCTATTGTTTACTTTTTCTGATACTGGAATTGTCTTATAGGAGAAGACAGGCTGGTGAAGTTTCTGTACTGTGCTTATATGATATTTCTGGGACCAAATAATACACTCTCAAAGGATGTACTTCTTTCAACTCTTATAACCCTTCTGGGGCACTGCCCTATGGACCACAGGATTGCAATTTAAGGAAATAAAACTACATTGATTTTTACAAGCATTGATTTGATCTGAGAGATTCCTTGAAATTCTAGATATAATTTTGGACACATCTGTTCCAGGAACGTTAGTTTCTTGGGAGTGATGTTGGCAAAACCGATGTGGAGAAAATAAAATATAGGGCATCTGTAACAATGCTGGATAGATCTGAACAGAAGTAGCATAATTCCTTCTAATTTGATTTTGGGAATAAATACATATACTTTAAAATCTTGCCACCAAATAATCTTTATGAGAAAAATATTTATTTTTATGCATAAAAATATTTATGTGCTTTGTCAGTTCTTCTTGTGGCATAGTATTTTAAATGTGTGTAATACCAGGATTATTGTAGCTGTGTCTCTTTTTTTACTCAGGGATTTACAAATTAATATTTCTTTTTTTTAATGAAACTGTGTAACCAACACGAAGTACGGATATAAATGGACTCTACTTAGAGGGACAGAACTTTGTGCTTACTAAGTGATTGTTTATTTTTTCACAATTCTTACCAGTGCTTTTTTAAGGATATCTACACACATGTGCGCGCGTGCGCACACACACACACACACACACACACACACACACACACCATTGATCTTTTTCTTTCATTTCCCTGCATTCTTCTATCAGTTCCTTCCTCTTCAGTGACTATTATCTTCTTTTGTTTAGTCTTTTCCTCCAAATTCCCTTAGCTTTCAGCATCCTCCTTCCTCACAAGGAATTGATCTCTTAACTTTTTGCCTTAAAAGAGCACAAGTAAGATGCCATTTTATAGCTGTTTTTCTTGGGCAAAAGTTATTTGAGGATAGTCAAACAGAAGAGAAATTTTCTCAGAGACAGCAATAACAAGTATATATTTCTTCATTCAAAGCATATGCAATAAGTTAAGTGTTCTTCATTTTTTACAAAAAAAATCCTTTGACCAGTTCTTTTTCTTGTACTATAAAAACTAGATTACTACAACTGATCTTAAAATACTTTCAATAAATCAGTTATTCAGAAATTTGAATCTTATGACTTTTTAATATTAACATTTAGTTATTGAATTATAATTGTTAAAAATAATTTAACAGCCAAGTAATCTCGTATCTCAAGATATGTTTAATTTTCATCCACTTTTCAGTCACTAAATGTCTGATATTCTCTATCATAATAAGATGCCTATTTACTAACTATTTCATAGTATAAAATGGTCACCTTCAGTTTACACTGTAGCTGCTTCATTTCCAAATCTACAGTCTTGACAGGAGTAGCTGGTACCATTCCAGTATGGCCAGATGCTGGAAAAGACAGGCCTTCCCTCCCTTTGGTTGTCTGGATCAGGTGGTCCAATTTTCCTTGCAAATCTGATTTTTCTCGTTGCAACTCAGTCAGGCTGGATGTCAGGGTCTGCTTTCCAGATACAAAAATAATAGGAATAGTTGTATTTGGTATGCAATTACAAACAACATTCTGTATTGTTATAGTTTAGCTTTACAAAATTCAATATTCATCATATGTTGTCCAAATTGCAATAATGTGGGCTGCATTTATTGGTTACAAAGTACAAATAAACTTAAAGCTAAAAAGAGAATAAGAGACTGGTTGATAGTATTTATCTTGCAACATGTAAAAGAAAAGGGGTGTAATAAACAATGGCCCACAATATTGCATTATCCTGCCCCTATTAATACTGTTAGTGCTATACGTAGAAAAATGCAGAGATATGCAGTGTAACCACTTCGTGGGTTACATTGAATTGGCTATAATGGCTGTCAGAATAAATTTACCCACATATTCTACTGGAAAATTCCAGAGAATATCATGTTTTGTCTTGTATCAGTTTTATATGTCTGTTTGGCTAGTCTTTATGCTATTGTTTCTTCCCTTCCTCATGTACATAACCACACAGCCAGGGAACTACAAATTTCATAACCTTGACCCTGAAAGTGATGCACTTTACATGTAAAAGCCAAGCTGGAGCAGGACAAGATAACAGATGTTAGTTGTTTATTCCATTGGGTAGGACTTATCCCCTTATACTGCAGCCAAAATGCATCTCATTTAGCAACATAAATGTTAATTCCAATTAGCAGATGAGGCTTGTTAGAGATTTAGTTCAAATGAATAGCATGCACACAAAACTCAGGCTTATTGAATTTGATTGACAATGGACCAGGATAGTTTATTTCACAGAAACAGCGTATCAGACTATACTGGAAAATGAAATATGTAACATTTGCTTTAATTTTGGAATAATTCCAACAATCTTTTACTAGTTTGTACTCAGCAGAAAGCCATAAAGATTTTAATGATAGACCAGTCAGAGTCCAAGAATCCGACAATAACATTTTAAAGATGCTTATAATGTGTAATAAACAATTAGGCAAAATGATAGCTTATTCAGAGGAATTTAAAAAAATCCTTCTGAAAAATCCCAATTAGATATTGCAAAAAGCACAAATGCAGAGACATATAGGCTTAGTATAAAGATTCCCCCGCACATGTGTGCTAGTTGTTCCACACTCTAGGGGGTGGTGCTCATCTCCATTTCTAAGCCGAAGAGCCAATGCTGTCCAAAGACGTCTCTGTGGTCATATGGCTGGCATGACTAAATGCCAAAGGCGCACAGAGCATTGTTACTTTCCCACCAAAGTGGGCCCTATTTTTCTACTTGCATTTTTTTATGTGCTTTCAAACTGCTAGGTTGGCAAAAGCTGGGACAAGTAACGGGAGCTCACTCCGTTACGCGGCACTAGGGATTCAAACCGCTGAACTACCAACCTTCTGATCAAAAAGCTCAACATCCTGAAAAGTAATATTTGCCCAGGGTTTTGCTGCCTTTTTTAGATTTGTTGTTTGATTTTTAGTAGTTTTTATCAATTATGGGTAGTTTTTGACTTATGACCAATCACTTAGTAACAAAAGCTAGTTAGGAGCAAGTTTCGAAATTCTAAGATCAGGGCCCCTCTGCAATCATATGACCATATTTTGGGCACTTAGCAACTGGCCCATATTTATGGCCATTTGCAGTGCCCCATGGTTATCTGACTATAATTTATGATGATTTTACTGGAAACGTGTTTACTTCTGGTCTAGCCAAAACTGACCAATAGCGAACACTGGTTTAACAACCAATGGAAAAAGGTCATAAAATCAATTGTGGTTATAAGCACTGCCATGACTTACAGCCACAATCGCCAGGCTCAATTATGATCATAACTCAACTACCTGCACTTTGTCATTCTTGTGATGTAAAAAAATTACACAGATTTTATTGGACTAGTTTATTACAAGTCAGGTGGTACACATGCATTCAACCTCTTGGCAAAGACATTCTGAATTCAAGCAGAATAAATTCTACTAAAGCAAGTGTTTGTATTAAAATCTGAACAACTAATACGTTTCATGCATAATATATGATCAGGCCAAAGTATGGAATATATACTTATTTCTATCCGTTAATACTTTTTGTAGTGTCATATGTATTGAGCTACATGAGAACACACTTATTTGGGGGTCACTTTAAACTATTTATAAGAAAAAAGAATTTTATAAACAAGATTCTTAGTAACTTTAACATTTAAAGTAACATTATATTTAAATAATACATGAAATTTGAGAATCAGTTTGATGTCATGATTAAGGCATTAAGCTAGAAATTGGAAGGCCATGAGTTGTAGTCCCACCATGGCCATGAAATCAGCTGGGTGACTTTGGGCCACTCACCCTAGGAAGGAGGCAGTTTCCTCAGCCTTAGGAAGGAGGCAATAGCAAACCATTTCTGAAAAATCTTGCCAAGAAAACTGCAGGGACTTGTCCAGGCAGTCTCCAGAATCAAACAATGAAAGAAAATGAAAGAAATGAATGAAAGAAAAACATGAAATTTAACCTTACTAGTGGTTCTATGTTAGTCACCAAATTACGATGATGATTCATATGGACTCAGATGGATCCACTCATAATTCATACAGGTGCATTCACATTCAATGCATACAATTTCAGTGGTCGATTGAAACCAATGGAATCATAATATATTTATGATTTTCTTAAATTGTTAGGTAAACATATTAGCTGGAAAGACATGAAAGAAAATTCTGCAACCGCCATTTTCATAGGATTCTTTTAAAAGCCAAATGTGCTATTTGATTAAATATTTCCAATGAAGTTTGGAATAAAATATTTGGACAGCAGCATAATCTACTTAAAGGTATATATTAGAACTAACATTATCTTTATGGAAATTACTTTTGGTAAAATAATTTATTTGGACTATACCAGAAAGTGAGACCATTAAAAATAATGGCATTTGATAGTAATATGCATTGCTGTATTTTGCTTTTCAATACATTCCTATTCAACAATAATGTTTAATGGCAGAGCACATATTTATAAACTAACTTTGGATATTTGCTGGAAGACAATACAGTATTATCACAAAATGTCAGGCAAAACAAAGCAATATAGCATACTTTTTAACAACTAGTTTAGATAGTTATTAGACTTCATCAGCCTTTGGCCAGATTAATCTTTTATTCCAGAAGCACTCTTCTAAGACTTCTTGAATTCTGTCAAAGTAGTAGCTGAATGACAAAATAATATTGCACATGAATAATAAGCAGAAAAGTTGAATTAACATTTCATATTTCATATGCCATACCTGGATGTCAGGGGAAGAAATACTTTATTTTCAAATGCCTGACATTCAGCTGTTTCTTTAAGTAATTCAATGTTGACATCTCATTGAGTTGAATCTTTCTAATTACTGCTAATTGCCTATCATGACTTGGTTCTCCTTGAAGTTCAGTTATCTAGTATAAATGAACATAACTTCAAGATATGCTGCACCGACAACTATGACAATTGAGGTTCGCTATATTATTATTGAAATCATTCTAAATATGGTATGGAATTAACCAACAGTTTTAAAGAATATTTAAACCACCAAAAATCCCAATCTCTAATGAAGTGTTTGGTCTAATAGTTAAAGCACCAGGCTAGAAAGTAGTGGTTTATGAGTTCTAAAGGTAGAATTAAAAAAAAATCTTTAAAAGTATTGATATTCCAAGAGAGAAGTATAAATTAGCACCCTCAGTTCATAAATATTGCTTTACAAAATACAATTGCTTTTGAACATATTTTTCATTCTATTCAATACAGTTTTTATTTCAAAATATCATATTAATACCTAATTGCCCAGTTGGTAAATTAAATTTATATGACACCCATCCTCTAATATGTCAATTCTGGGCAGTTTACAGAACATAAAATTATAGCATATACAGTTATTATAGTATTTTAAAATATGTTCTATAGCAAGAAATGAACTCCTATCACCCAAGGCCAATTGATGAACCAACCACAACCCAACAATGGTGCCCCTTAGCCCTTCCACTGTTTAACTAACAAGATATTAAGACTTAATAACTGGTGGAAACTAGTGTGGAAGTGAAAAAGTAAAGGGCTTAATAGCTAGGAAGGGAAAACGTTATGGTGCCCCTTTTCCCTTGGTGCCCTAAGTACATGCTTATTTTGATTAATGTAAATCCAGGACTCTCAGTTTAGAGATATGATGAAGAGGGGTATATAATCTTAGGACTTTTCAATCTCTAGAAAATATTTGATCTATTAAATTAATGAGACTTCGAGCAAGAATACCTAAATAATGTGTGATTCAATAATTTGGGGCATTTAAAAATATTACACGAGGGAACGAAAGGCATTCTTATGTTGTACCTAGCTTGAAATGGTTACTGATACTTATTCTGCCATGACCCCCATGGCTATTAAATTCTTGCTACCTAGAAACAAACCAGCAGCGCTTACAAAAAGTAAGCTATGGATAGACATACAACAGAAACCATTGCTGCCACTAGCCTCTCAAATGAACAAACAAGATACAATACAATACAATACATATATATAATAAAAATCCTAGAATTATCTATGAAAAGCCATTTCTTACATGACTGAACTACTCAAGCAACAGTCTATTCAAAAATCTATTTTAAAAAAAAGATGGTGCATGAACAAAAGTAATACTTGGGGCTTATTTCTCACTAGCAAGAATGACATCTGCCTAGAGCACTGATCAGGCCTAAGGCATGGAAATTAACTTTTACACTAATTTCTTTACTCCCTTGTCAGAAGGCAAATTATGATTACTTAGTAGGCAGAAACAACACTGACAGAAGACTGATTCTATTATCAATGTCGTATTTGAAAAATAAGACATCACTGGAATGAAGTGAGCACATGCTTTGCATATACAAGATTTCACTATCAGTTTCTGGTATTTCAAGGCAGGACTGAAGCCTCATATCTGAAAAATCCAGAGCTATTAAGGAAAACTGTTGAAAAACTGTGGTACAGCACTTCTCTATTATTACCATGAAATTTATGTGCACATGACC